TGGCTCACATGCAACAACTCTGCCCAAGACATGCTTCTTTGTTATATCATACAGTAATTCGTCAAACTTCATTTTAAAAACCCTTGAGATTATATCAGGACGATCTTGAGGTTGTAAATTCATGTTGTTAAGAAACCTCTGAATCTCTGGCCAACATGGATTGCAAGTAAAGGTAATGAATAGATCGGGAAATCCAATTTGACTACAAATTGCCATTCCATCAAAGTATAATTGTTCCATGTATCTGCGACTTCCAACGTATGTTGACGGCAACACCACTCTTTTGCCTTTGTGGGTTCCTTCATTTGAAGATTGTTGGTGTACTCCTGACAAATTGGAGTATTTGGATACTCGTAATTTTTTTTGATGCTTACGTATGTAATTGAGTCGCTGTGACTCCATCATAGTGAATCCATCAACCAAAAATTGCTGAAACAATCTCCTTGACCTGAGCAGTGTGTGAGCTTCACATTGTCTGGTCTGAATGCGAAAGGCCAGCCATTCTCTAATAGTAAGTTTGTTCATCTTTCCTTTTTTTTTTGGGAACTGTCTCTCTGTGTAGAACACCAATTCTAAATCCATCTTCCCCGTACGGAAACAGAAGTGGATATTGTAATGCAAGATAGCTCGGATGAAACTCACTTATTCGTTTTAGTCTACCGCTTTGTCTTTCAAGGATAATATCCCTTTTTGAGCCTGTATCAACATCACCAACAATGAGGGCTGCAACCTCAGACACGGTGGGTTGGTTGTAAATTCGTTCGTACTTTAATCTATCAGATATTAACTTCAACTTGAGGTCAGGTACAGGACAATCCTTTAGTCTAGCTGATGCCATTCTAAAAGATTTAGCATGTGTGTTGAATTCGTCAAGCATGTTCTGTATTCGGCTAACAGTTTCTTCAATAATATTCTGGTTGTTGCTGCATTAAAAAATTAGACACATGTCATGCACGATAATAACAAAGGTAATATAAAGTAGGCATCTCAGTTGGCTTAAGAAACATAACCCTATTCCTTGCATCCTATGATGAATCTCATTGTCAGTGTCGTATATATAAAGCTGAGCGAATTTCGGTTTTTCGCCATGCACAGGCATCATGCTACCAATTCTATGGCAAGCCTGCCCTTGAATTCTCATGTTAGGTGGTCCATTTCCATTATTGAATCTATTGTCAATTTTCATTCCAGGAGACGTAAATGCAAACATTATGTTGTACATTCTGCAATTCTGCTGATAATTTCTACACAGTTCATCGTTTTCATTCGACAGAAGATGTTTAAGAAACGGTGGTGGTGTTCTCAGAAGTGGCAACACAACTTTACCCTTTCCACAACATAATTGGAACTTAGGCATTGCACTATGTTTTCTCTTGACAACCTTCTCTTGATACCACATTTGTGCTCCACACTGAGTGCATTTAATGGAAGGATCACCAATATCTGAATATCCTGTATTTATCAGATAGAACAAAACATCATATATCTTATACACATCAGTATATTCATAGACACCAAACTGGATGACAGTGAATTTAAGTTATGGTTTTCTATTAATAATAATTCCAGCAATACATACCAGCATTTGTGCAATCAATTGTTGGGACATTTGCAGAATGATCTTCGTCGTTGTCCAGACTTGAACTTGTATCATAATTCGGATCTTCATTTATGAATTCACACGAACTATCGGTTAAAGATTCATCGGATGAATAGTCTGCAACTGATTGTTGAACTGGGTTCACTGAGTCAGCACTTCTGAACAGATTGGTATTAAGGGAAGTTGACGTCGTTTCTGTAACACTTGAAAAGGTTTTTAATAGATTCGCAGTCGTTGAACGAATTAGATTTGGATCAAGATGTTTGTTGGATGAAGATGCATAGGAATTCGGTAGTCCATATGAATTATTTTTGCATTTAATACTTGATGAGGAGGTAACGCCACTCAGAGGTGTGTTAGCATCAAACGGTAAAGGGGAACAAAAGGGCATTCTATCAGCGAGTTTGATCTGCAGATGACCACGATGGCTGTTGTTTTGGGGACTCTTACGCTTCATTATTGACCTCCTTCTTTGACGTGCTGAAGCAGGAATTTGTTTGGGAGAAATTGTATCAGTAGAAATGCATGAGAAGCTGGGGGAAGATGCAGGTGTTGGGGTTGTGCACTGGTTAAAACCAACACTCCTTCTCCTTTGTTGGGAATTAAGCATTACGCACTCTGTTCGTGCAGAAACATCTCCATGGCCATTGACAAAAACAGAACTGATATCAGACAGTGGCTATCTTGTATGATGTCTGCTTACATAACTTGAATTATTTAGGTCATGGTTGTGCTCAGTTGAATTTTCATTAACTCTATTCTTCTGAAATCTTCTTTCATCAAGAACATGCTTCCTCTTTTGTCTTGCAAGTGATGCAGAGTATTTCCTATCTACAAAATGGTTGTTCATAGTTGAAAGAGAATATGGTTGATAACTTACAACTCTTCATAAGTATAACATAATGAATGTAAGAGTAACAAACCTATATGGAATTGTTTGGTTTTGCAGTTCATAACATTTGTATTATAATTTTTAAGTGTACTCAGATACTCTATTTGTACATTGGATATGAGATAGGGTACAATATATGCTACCAAAGCTTAACAATTATGGGTAGAGGTTAAAAAATTTAATGTCACATGAATACCATATGTTGGCCAAACTTTAAACAATTATTAGAACACCAAATATTATAATATGACATTAAATACTGTTATGTTGGAAACACGAAATTGCCATTGGAAACCAAAGGTTATTCCTATTGTATTCTATACCATATTCATTTTATTTTATTTTGTAACATGTAACCATGGTTTGATGTAAATGTGTAAAATTAAAAGTACTTCCAAAAATATACATTTTCCAAGGGATATAAAATGGAATGATCAGAAACTGTTTGTATTCTACATGTCATGTATAGTGCCTTTTGTAACTAATGCTTGCTTGTTGGGCCAACAAAAGATATTGTCTAACGTCTGTTTTACTCCATCTCCCTGTCTCTTCGGTTTTCCATTAGAAACAACATTCCATGAAGACGGTACACCTTAGAAACAGAGTTTTGCTCCAGACAGCGCCGACCAACCAATACGATGAAGAAAGAGGATCTACGTTGGTGTTCCCGCGGGTAAGTTCTTCCGTTTTGACACACATGTTTCTAAACTTGCAATGAGATCATTTAGGGTTTATACAAAGATGTCTGTGTGCATGATGGGCATGGATGAATTTATATGCAGGGGATTCGTTGGTAGAAGTCACACAACCACGACTCCTAATCTTAAATGGAAAAATCTGGCTATCCAAAAGGTTTGGAAGCAATCTGAGGATAAGCGGGACAGAGCAGAAGAATGGAGAAAGTTGCATGCAGAGGCTAAGAGGAGGAAAGAGGAAGCTGAAAGTTCTTCAAGGTAAAACAGTAATCTGGATAGTGAAAAAAACAAAAAACCGAATGCATGATGTTTGTTGTTTTTTTGATTAAGCAGCAGGAGTTGCCAAAAAATTACACGTGCTGAACTTATGGACAAATACTATGAGTATGTCGAAAGAGAGGAATCGTACGAACTGAGAACAGGAAAGGTGAGAAGCTGTCTATCATGGGAAAAGTACTTTGAAATAGCCAGAGAGGAGGGATGGCTTGTTGACATATCAGATGATGAGCCTGAACAGAATTCCACTGATGAAGCAATGGAATCAGCGGGCGATGTGTTGGACAGGCAAGGGCTTTTAGGTTACATATATACATTTGAATATTTGACTTTGCAAATTAGTAGTTGAAATAATCGTGTTTGTTAATGCAGCAAGGAGAACAACACTACTGATGTTGCTGATGTTGTACAACCTCCTGCCATGCAAGAGAAACTTGTTTGCAGATGGCAGAAAGTTGTTAAGAGCAGCAGCCAGATAAAAAATCAAGTTCTTGTAAGCTCTTGATCTGTTTGCTGTTACAGTTCGTAAGGATGCATAAAATTGAATGAATAGACATAGCTAATAAAGTTTTAATGTTGCAGCACTTTCCAGCAGCAGTCATCAAGGAAATCTTCATGACACAGACTCGGGTATTACGTACCAATGTGTTTTCAAATCCAGGGAGAACATGACGGAGAAGTTTCTGTCAAGGGGCTGGTTAAAATTTGCAAAGGAGAAAGAGCTGTCGAAAGGTGACGTTCTCTTATTCAGTGTAGAGCATCCTCCTGTGGAACGTACATTGGTCAAAGTTGAGAGAGGGCAGCATTGAAAGGAGTTGTTGATTGGATTACATGGGAAGCATCATGGCAAAAAGGAGGGATTATTTTTGTATGGGCGGAAATGCATAACTATTTGTTTTGAAAATCTATTTGATGCCCATTTGTCTTTGTTATTAGTTTTGTTATATGATATTGTTGGGCTACGGCTCAATGTACAATCTGCTTATGATATGTTAAATGGAATGATATGAAATTAGTTCCATATATTGCGTTGATGAGATAATTGCATATCGTTTCTGGTATTATCCGGTAACAATTTATATTAATCAAGTGTCATGGATTTCTGCCATGCATAATCTGTTATTCATGTATCAGTTTTATAGATTAATGTACAGTATGCTGATATACTACCGTGTATTATGCATAAAGTATGCAAAACAATATGGATTGTCCAGCATCAAGACATAAAGAGAAACATTTTTGTCCATAATAAGTTTATTATATTAAACAAAATAAGGAATTACCAACATCATATTGCTTTTTGTAGTGTAAATTATGCATAGTTTTTTGCAGCTTAAATGACTAAAATCATATCATTCATTCATATACAATGTCAAAAGGATCAAACAAAAAGAAAGAATGACAAATCAAATCCTCATAAACCAGAATAAACAAAATGTAAACCAGAAATATTTCATTACATCAATCAAAATTAGGTGTGCAATGTTGTCCAAAACAGCATAAAGTAAAAATAAATCGTCGACGATAATTGACTGCATCATTTCTCCAGCTTGATGTCCCTTATTATCTTGGTGGATGATAGTTGGGCACTGTCGAGTTCTTCAACTGTCTCAGGAATAGATCTTTTTGACGGTGTAAGTGCAGAGTTGGCAACTGAAGGGTCATAATCTGCAGTGATTGATAACGGATCCTGCCATTAAAGAGTCATTACAAAATCAGTAGCATAAAAAAGGAAGTAAGACATTGTTTAATAGGCTAATTTGTTAATGTTGAAAGCTAAAAAAAGACGCACTGAAACTGTTTGTGGATCAGCATGAGACTGTTTTTCCGAGGTGCTGATGGTCGGAGTACACTGCAAGTTAAAAAACGCAAGAAATAAACGTTAGACAATTGTTCAAAATGTGATGGCAAGAGTAATAGGTCATTCCTATTTAAAACATACTGATGCTGTATGCATATTATCCCGAGTGTCATCTGTTGAGACGACAATCTTTGAAGTGTGCTGTAAGTTTTAAACAATTGTTAAAAAAATCCAATGCACATGATACTGACTTTAACAACAGTAAAACATGAGTACAGCAGTACCTCTTCACATTTAAACCTCTCCTTTATTTTGGTACGTAGCACTTCATCTGCCTTAAATTCGATTACAGAAAGACTGGCCTTGTTTGGTTGAAACACTGCTCTTATAGCCAACTCCTTCTTCAGCATCACATCAAGTTCATAAGGGAATTCAAGGGGATCAAAATCTCCAGTCTAAATGATTAAAACAATATATGTTATTTACGTGGTAATTATCTAACTTACATATTATCCAAATGGAAAATACCTCCATCAAATCCAACTTCATCTGAAGGGCGGACTTCCCAATCAACTTTACACAATCTACATCCCAAAATACGAACTTGTATTTTAACTTTCCATCGGAGGCAAGCACTTCAAGCTTAAACCTGTACCATGCGTGATCAAAATAAGAAATTGTCAGTAATGAAGCGTTTGGTTATATGATGATAATCATTGATATGCAATACTTAGAAGTTACCTTGGGACTGGCTCAGAACTGATGTGTTTGGAATAACACATGAATTTTCCATCCTTCAAAGTCACACTTTTAGTACATTCACTACATCCATCATAATACCATCCTGACTGCCCACATTCAAACTTCTCCAGAGTCGCAACAGTCACACATGTAGTTTCCTGAAACAGAAAGATGGGATGATGTCTCAAAAAATGGATTAGAACCCAGTCTGTGTAATTCCTCAATCTAAGACAGTCATGTATTAAAGAGCAACTTACTGTCTGCAGATATGCAATATCAGACAGACTCAACACTTCAGCTTTCCATACAAATTTGTCCAAATCAGAAAAAACTGAGGTATTTGTGGTTTCCATTTTCATGCTCGAGGATGAGAGCGTCGGCAGATCATCTTTAAGTCTGGTGATCATAGATCAGAATGAAAACAGGCTGTTAGAAATCATAGGATGCTAATTCATAACTTCATAATAAAATCACTTACTTCTCTTTAAGGTTTTTAACCTCCTCAATAGACAAATCATTGATGAGCAGTTTTGTGCCGTTCCAAGCATTTGATACATTTAAAGGATAATTTCCTGAAAATTGAGATATTTATAAATGACAACACTTAAAGTTGGATATAATAATTGGATATAATAAGAAATAGTCACATAGAAAACCTTGAGGTTCCTTGATCCTTGCATTCATAAGTAGGAGAACAATACTACCATCAGCCTTATGAGTCGTATAATACTCATTCAGTTGCACAACTAATTTACCCCAAAGAGTACATTGCACATGATGTTTGCTGATTGACAGGAATTTCAAAACAAACAACATGAACATGTTAGACTTTTATATTTATCAGCATCAATGTTAACAAACAAAATGAAACACCTACCTCAGATCAGTTAATGAAAACACAATCTTGCTTTTGTTGTTATCAGGAATTATCTGGGCTTGGGATATTTCAGTAACCCCACCAATTATATCTGCACAAAAGTTCACCACAGACAGTTATGGATAACAGAAAAGTAACAATACAATGCGTTCTATTATAACAGTAAAAAGGTAACTCACCATATAACAAATTCTTTCTGTATTTACCCTCAATAATAGCATTTATTCCAATTAACTTGAGGTGGTTCAGAGGTATGTCAGAAAGTTGGACCTTTTTGACGGAAGTTGAACCACAGAAAATCAATTTGAACTTATGATCAGTGGATTTGAAGGAGAAATCATTGCTGGAAACTTTGAAATTCTGCATTATGTAGGAACAACCAACTTCAAGCTGTGTTTTGAATTTTGATACCAAATAAGATGGCACAATGGCTTGAATCAAATCCAACTGTGAAAATACAAACTTGCATTATGTACGAACAACCAACTTCAACCTGTGTTTTGAATTTTGATACCAAATAAGATGGCACAATGGCTTGAATCAAATCCAACTGTGAAAATACAAACATCTTGAAATCAGTATCATATACCAGTACTGTTACAACAAAATCAAAATGCCAAAGCAGAAACGTTTAGATTGTATTATACCTTTGAATCAAACAGAATAAGCTCTAAGTGCTCTCTATTCTGAGAACTGGTAACAGACCACAGATGCTTACATCTAACAGCAACCTTCCACAAATCCTTCGAATCGTCAATGCTACTGATATACTCGATTGGGCGCGCCATCCTCACGCAGCAATTCGTAACAGCGCAGAGACAGCAAGGTGTTAAGCAATGGAAAACGACAGCAAGGTGTAGCAATGAAGAAAGAATGAAAAACTTTTGAGGTTCCATTTGAATTTGAATTCTGATTAAGAGAGGCATAATGGTTTGGCATGGGGAAGAGGAAGAGAGACATATTGAATGGCAAGGAATAATGGTTTGGCATGGGGAAGAGGAAGAGAGGCATAATGGTTTGGCATGGATTTATTTGAAAAACAAAAATTGAAAATGTGGTGAAAAATTGTGGGAGTGCCACATCAGATTCAAATGAATGTGGTGCAAGATATTTTTGAGTTTCCTATTTTACCCCAATACAATAGACCAAGAAAGCATTTTATCAGCTTTGGTGTTGTGGTAATTTCCAGGGACATAGATTTTTATAGATAGATAATAGATAAGTCATTTTACATTACTAATAAATAATTAATGCTATTTTTTTACTATATCCTTCAAAGATTATTATTATCTCTCTTTTCAATATTTAAAGTTATCTTTCTCATGTCATTAATAAATGATAATTTTATAAAAACATTCATAATTTCTTATTTTTATACAACAATTATTATTTTTCTTAATACGTGTGAAAAATCAAAAATAACTTATAATAAAAAATAGAAGTAATATATTTTAGAAAAATATATTATATTTTTTTATACTTAAAAATTTGTGAAATATACATTTCATACACAAGATACTTTATTTTCTATTAATTAATTAAACTTATATATGTGAAACTTCTATTAATCATTACCATTACCATCACTAATTACTATTACTGTCTTAGGGATCTTCGTCGATGTTGCAAGTTATTGAAATTTGATATGCCTTAGAATCTTTAGAGAGTTGGGTTTAAGAAAGCAATATCTGAGGCCATGTCAAGGTCATAGCCTCTTAGCATTCAATCATTCTCCTACTCATCCATCTTGACAAGTTTATTTAGTGGTCTCTTTGAAAATGGGGAGAAATAAGAAAATAATGAGCATTTGTTTCTTTGTGATTCCATGCGAAAGTGTCTATAACGACAATCTCAATTGGTCATTCTAGTAGCTCAAAACACGATTGCCTCCCCTATCCACCTGAAATTGAGGTATTATAACGATTTTGACAGACTAGTTATAGTCAAAGCTAACCTGTATGGCTCAAAACAAATACATGAAGCAATATTGAAAAATGTCCTATCCTTGAGGAAAAAATAGGGAAGCTCATAAAGCGCCAAATTAGTCAATTTCGACGTGCACGAAGATGAACCCCCTCAAGGAGATGAACTAGGCTCCTGGTCCGGAATCAAGATGAAGTCTTAAGGCAAGTCCCGAATGGAGAATTTAAAGTTGTTCAGTTGAATGATAACCCAATGAAATTGGTGAAGATAGGAGTCGACCTACCTTCCAAAGTCAAGAAGGGAATGAATGTTTAAGGGAAAATTATGATATTTCCGTCGTCTCTCCTTGCGAGAGCCCATACATAGTTCCCAATGTACAATGTCACCAGTTAAAAATCAATCCTATGGCCCAGTACGTGTACTAGAGAGAAAGGTGACAATCTCTCTAAAAGGCCGAGGCGACTCAATGGCAGCCCAAGGTTTATTAGACGTTAACTATATTTTCAAAATAAAATACACTGAATGGCTATCCAATATGGTGTTAATCAAGAAATCTTTCTGGAAATGGATAATTTGTGTCGATTATACTAATATCTTAAACATACCCTAAGGACTCCTACCCGTTCTCAAGCATATATTATTTATTTGACAATTCGGTCGAGTACAAGCTTCTATCATTTATGGACGCATACGAGCTAGATAGAGAGAAAACCACCTCGAGCAAGCCAACTACTAGTATAATTTGATGCCCTTTGGTTTGAAGAATGCAGGGGTGAAAATGCCAAAGGATGACGAATAAGGTATTCAAAGAGTAAATAGATGAAATAGTGAGGGTACTCATGGATGACATGATTGTTAAGTTCAGGGAGGAGGGGCTACACGACTAGCATCTTGCAAGTGTATTTCGAATATTTTGAAAGTAAAACATGAGACTCAAATTTATATGCAATTGAGTTTGTTCACTGAGGACGAGGATGATGACTAAGAGTAGTAGTTTCTTTGTTTTCTTGCGTGTTTCCTATGTTTTTATTATTTCTTTATAATCCGGTCTTGTTTTAATTAATGAATTATGTTTCTTGCTTTAAATGTTTTAGCATGTTTTGATCTATGTAATAGGTACATTCAATATTTGTCTATCTGATTATTTTTCTTGCCTTTTTGATAATGGCAAAGACATATAAATATACTATTAGGGGGACTAAGATATAATATGTATATTTGTCAAGGAAAGTTTAACCATTCCAATTTATCACCTATGTTTCGTTGTTTTTCCATCTCTCTGAAAGATGTGTTGCCATCATAAAAAATAGGGAGAATATGGATCTATGTGCATATAGGTATGAAGTCTACAGTAACCTATTGATTTAGTTTTGATGTTGAAAATTCTCTTAAGAGAAGTCTTCTCCAATCTTATTGTTCAAGGCTTGTTGATTCACCTGATATCATTTCATATGTTGATCAAGTAATGGTGTTTGATATGTTTATAATCAAGTGATGGTGTTTGACATGCTAATCAAGTGATGATGATTGATATGTGAATAAAGTTATGTTGCTTGATATGTGGATCGAGCGATGACACTTGATATGTTAATAAAGTAATGATGCTTGATATGTTGATCAAGTGATGGTACTTGACATGTTGATAAAGTGATAGGGCTTAAAGATCAAGATGTATTGATAAAGTTGTGCTGATCAAGATGAAGTCTGAAGATCATTTGATGTCGTGATCATGTGGATGAGCTTGAAAATAAAGTTGTAGTTTTCCTAATCAAAGTTGTTATTGATCAAGTGGTGTTGATCAAGTTGTGGTGATCAAGATTTTTATGCTTGGAGACCAAGTTATTTGTGCCTATCTGTGGGGATAACACCTTATATTAAGCGACGTTTGCTGAAGTCAACAAAGATCTCTAATCAACAGGTTCTCTATTGTGGAGATTATCATGAAGAGTTATATCAAGCCTCGTCAGAATAAGATTCATGGTTCTATTTAAGTTCTAAAGTAAAAAATTAATATGGCAAGGAACCAAAAGCTTTAGAGTTGTGAAATAGAGGAAGTTTGAAAGATCCTTATGTCTATGTCAAGTGATCAGTATTTATAAATGTATAATACTAAATCTCAACTTTACTAAGACAAATAAAATACACACACTTTTAAACCCATTAAAATCCCATCTTCTTTTATTAAAATCACCTAAACTACTAGGAAAATAAATTTAACCTCGGTTGGATATGAGGTGTTACCTCGGTTTCAAAGGCGAGGTAAGGAATGGTGTCATAAAAAGCGTGCCACTTTATCTCTCAGTTGAAACTCCACCTAGGGTAAAGGTTGAACTTGTAGTAGGTTCAATTCCCATCTACTGCTTATTCATTTTTTAAAGGCATTACTTTACCTCTCGATTATTAGAATAACAGATAAATTATCTATCTCTCTCTCTCTCTCTCTCTCTCTCTCTCTCTCTCTCTCTCTCTATATATATATATATATATATATATATATATATATATATATATATATATATATATATATATATATATATATATATATATATATATATATATATATATATATATATATATATATATATATATATATATATATATATATATATATATATATATATATATATATATATATATATATATATATATATATATATATATATATATATATATATATATATATATATATATTTCTTGTTTTATTAATATACAATGTTTCTTATTTTACATTATTTTCGTTTCAATCTACAAGTATAAATATTTGACATATTATGAATCTGGTTCATCGTCATCACTGTTAATTTAGGGTGAAGATCAATTTTTTCATTGAATCTTGGAGAAGATAAAATGTTTGATATTGTATGCATTTGTTTATAATATAAAATAAAAAATGATTAGATAAATAAAATAAATTTTCAGTTACATGATAATAAATTATGTAAGAAAACCAACATTTAACCAATTTTTTTTTGCTCTTGTAATCCATCATAGAAATATTTTCTAAGTTTTTCTTAGTTTCACTTTTTACATGACAAATTCTTTCATTATCAATGTTTGAGTTTCACAATATAGTGTCCTAGATATATAGTGGTGGCGTTCGGGTTTTGATTGGATGTAGAGGATTTCTTGTGTATTGATGTGTTGAAAATATCTTGAGTGGTGTTACTTTACAAATGGATGACAAAGATATATTGAGTCAAAAATGGATTACTTTTTAAATAAAAAAACTAAAATTTGGACTTTTCCTGTTGGGCCCTAAATCAACAGAGGTATTAGATTATATTTATTGCGGAAAAAATGGTGAATGGAAAAAAATTAAAAGAAACATGTATTGTTTCCTTTTTCAATTTTTTACCATTCATACATTCTTTGTGTGTTGCAATAATCAAACAAAAGATTACATTGAAAATAAATTGCAGTATGATTAGGAATAAAATTTTCAATATTGTCAACCAAAGAAAGTAATATATTATAGAATATTTTCTTTTATTGACAATATTGGGGAGTTATTCCAAAATATAACTATGTTTTCTTTTACCATTCAACATTGGCAAGAGGTGGAAACACCACCATCGCCACCACCAACAATAACAATAACCAAAACGACACCATTACGTGTATTGCAAGAATAAAACAACACAATTTCTATCTTGTAATATATCCCAAAGAATGATGTTTACGAGTATGGAGCAGTTGTATATATGAGTTAGATTTAGGATAAAACTTAGTGAATGGGTCCTTTTATAGTTAAATTTTGGTAGCATGCTCCTCGGTTATTAGAAAAACTGATGGAATAGATTATTTAATAATTAAATAAAAACTAAAATAAAAAGAAATATGTCACTTTTAAATAAATAAAAATAAA